GAACCGTCACACATTTGAGAAACCGGTTAAAATATATAACTAGTAGAAAGCTAATTTATCCATTAGCAAAGTAGTGGAGATCCGTCAATGCCTTGATGCCATTGTAGATATGGTGAAAATGCAAATGGGGAGTGACACATGGGAAGAAACAGTTGAAGCTTGCTTAGAGAGAATTTATGTAGGGCTCAGTTAGTGTTTTGTAGGAAATCTATATATTTAGTTTCCATGTGGGTAGTGGGAGGGAGAGATTATCTTTTGATGTAGTGTCTTCACAACTGTTGATAAACACCTAGTGTGAGCTATTTGCCTTTGTATGTTTCATTAGGAAGGAACCTCCGCCGTCTGAGAGGTTGTTGTCTTTCCGTATAAAGCTCTTGTGTAATTTAGCAGTACAAACCAAGATTTTGATGGGATTATACCGGGTATAGTTGGTTGCAGGTGACATTCATTTCCTTTCTTTTTTCACATCCTTTTTTCTTCGTTTATGTCCCAGAGGATAGTTTTGTGGTTAATTTCTGGGATCAAGTGTACAAGAAATGTACTCCTTCAGTAGCTCCTCTCTTTGAGCTTATTATATTTATGAAATATTCATCTTCTCTCTCAAGCTAGTTTGAATAAATTTTCAAAACTTCAAGTGAAGCACGGTACCTTGTGGATTGGCGGTATGCATAAAGCTTTAACGGAGCATAGCATTCTGAATGTTACTGATAAAGCTTAAAAAAGTAAAAAAAAAAATAATAATAATAATGGAGAAATCGATAATACAATCATTTTTTTGTGACGCAACAAGCAGATTAGCCGTTCGGCTGTCTACTTCTATTCTATCCAGTTTAGAATACCGTAAAACTCGTGAAGGTTTTTTGCCCATCACCATGTGTTGGATCTTATTTATAAGACTCGATAAGAAAACAGCCCATCAATGGTATGCCGCAATTCAGATGCAAAAAATTTTGCAATTGGGGCCTTGTTTCTCCTTTTTCGATCGACCTACTAACCAATGGATGATGGGCTTCAATTGATTATTTTTATTCCCATCATCTATAAACTTAACGTAACATTGTGATTAATGTTATATTAAACATCAGTTTTATTTATTATTTTCAATTAAAGCCCAATTAAGCTCTCAATTAACTGCCTTGAAACTTGAAAGCCAACTATGCCCTCCAGAGATTTGACTTACAAAATAAAACTATATTTACTAAGATTATAATAAAAGCAATAAAAATATATATTATATAACATTAAAAATTATAAAAAAGCAAGTAATTTATTTTTAATTTATATATATTAAAAAAGATGTATTTGATAATATTAACAATGATGCAATATGTCTTTTTTTAAGATATGAAAATCTATGTAAACAATTGTATTTATATAACAATATATTATTTCAAAAATTTTAAGGTAGGACCAATTTAAGTCTTTTATTATAGCTTCACTATGACAGCATAAAAGAAACTAGGCAGTCCCCCCCCCCCCCCCCTACTTTACCCTTTATCACGTGTGGATCATCGAAATGATGATGATCTATTGAATCATTCATGACCAAAAACATTAAATATGAAATGCCATTCACATCGTACGGACTAGTCTATTTTCATCCTAAAAGGTAGTGAGTCGCCGCATTGGTAGATAGGTGGTTTCTTTTTTTTCCAGTAAGCTTGAAGCCGTCGAATGTTGATTGTTGTTTATTTTTCATCTCACTCTCTCACCCATGGATTTTCCCAATTCTGTTTCTTTTGCCTTCTTGCCGACAAGACGACCATTGATGCTTCCATAACATTTAATACTATGCTATTTTCGCCGGCTAGGTTAAGCTTAATATTTTTTTTTTTTTAAATTAAAAAGGTTCTTAGATTTCGTCTAATATATTTTTTTGGTTGGATCGGTTCAAATAAATTTATTAAAAATTATCTTTTCACATCTTCCTAACAGATTCGAATCAAGCAAACCCTTTTGCTTATTGAGCAATATCCATCAACGGCTTAACACCATCCCTACCAAGCAATCAGCTCTACCGATTCTTACCCTTTTAAATGCAATTTCCATATGATCAAATCCATCTCTCTTTTTGTTTATTGATCAATCTAAAGTTGTTTTCTGCTATAATGATTGTTGGATGCAAATAAGGGCCGGTTAAATTTGATTCAATGATTCTTGACAACATTTATGTATTCATGTAGTCCATTTAGTTAGCATTTGATGTGATTTTCTACTTTCACAACACTTCATATATAAAAATTTTGCAATCAACATTTGAACATTTAATTCAAGTGGTAGATACATGAATCTCTGCTCAAAATTCAAAATTGAAATTTCTTCCAAAATTTTTTTAATAAAAAATAATGCATAAAACTTTAGGATATACAACAATTAAAATTTTTATCTTACATATTGATAGTAGAATTTAAAACCCTATAAGATTGACATGTAATATATTTAATAATTAGATAAGGGATAAAAATAAAAATATTGAGATTCGAACTCTCACCTTACATATCTTCTTAAATCTTTTTAATGATTAGGTTAAGAAGCTGAAAATTATAATTTTTAGAATTACTATGAAATTTGTAAAAGTTTGACCATCCTATATATAATATAGATAGTTGTTTCGTAGCTGTTTTCTTAGCATCATTAAGCAAATACGGGAAATTTATAAAACGATATTATTTCTAAACGGTCCAAAAGATAAAAGGAAAAAGAAAATTAATCCAAGGGAAGAAGGCAGTAAAATTTTCATTGTTTCTTTTACATGTTTAGCCAGCAATCAGGTCATTGGTAGTTTTGTTAATGATTACACAATGGCAACCAATTCCATGGACAAGGAAGAACTTGTCCCACCTGAAGCCATAGAAGGAGTTCATGTTAACCATTCTTAAAGCTATTGGGTGGAGAGCCTTCCAGCTTCTTTGCTTATATCGAGGCTTTTGGAGCTTCCCTCGTTTCCTCGAAGGCATCATAAATATTAGCTCAACAACATTTCAAGCCTAAAACAGGTGATATCTTTGTTTGCAGCGCTCCCAAAAGCGGCACTAGTTGGCTCAAGGCTCTGACTTCTGCCATTTTCACTCGAAACCTTTTCGATAATTCCAATACCCCTTTGCTCAACAAGGGTCCCCATCATTGTGTGCCAAACTTGGTGGGTTTTGGTGAGAAGACGGATATTCGTGAGCCACCCATGTCCCCTATCATTCCTTGCCTGAATCTGTTCTGGATTCTGATCATGCTAAGGTTGTTTACATCTGTAGAGACCCCAAGGATGCTTTTCTTTCCATGTTTCACTTCGCAGCCAAGCGGAGGCCCAAGGAAAATGAACCCATTTCCCTGGAGTAGGCTTTTAATCTGCTCTGCCAAGGAAAGTCTGTTTTTGGACCTTCCTGGGACAACATTTTAGGGTACCCAAAAGCTAGCCTAGAACGACCAGAGAAGGTAATGTTCCTGAAATATGAAAATTTGCAGAACGATTCCGAGCTGTATGTGAAAAAATTGGCACGGTTTATGGGGTACCCTTTCAGCTTCGAAGAAGAACAAGTTGGGGGCAGTGCGGAAAATAATAGATTTTTGTAGCTTTGAGAATCTGAGCAGCCTCGAGGTAGACATGACAGGACAGTTGCACGCTGCTGATGCTCTAGCAACAAACAAATATTTCTTTAGGAAAGGCAAGGTCGGAGATTGGCAGAACTTCTTACTCCTGAGCTGGCAGAGCGTCAGCAGAAACTCAGTGGATCCAGCTTGAATTTCAAGCCCGCTGAAGGTGGCCTCTTAAAGTTGGCTAGTATGATTGCAAAACTGCTACACAAATTAATTGGCCTCAAGGCCCACTATCGGAGCTTAGAATTTGGTTTAATTATACACAGCCCTTCTAACTTCTAAGTTGTTCTTCTCCTTTTTTTTTTTTTTTTTTTTTCTTATCTTACTATTTATTTGTTGTTAATTTGCTAATAAAAGCACACAAAATTACGTTTATAAATTCCTTTATTCAATAAAAAAAAATTTATCCTGTCCAATATTTTATGTCATGACAGAACTATACTAAACTGCTAAATATAAGATTTGGTGGTAGGGTTGCATTACTTTGAAGAACCAGCTCTTGACAATATTATATCCCTCACTTGAATCATCTTAGTGGATCCATTTGCGTTAGGGTCTTTTTTTGTCTTTTTCCACTTTTTTTTTTCCTTCTTATAAATAAATGGGCAATAATAACAGATACTTTAAGCGTGAAAATTGGTGGAAATGATCACCTCATTAGTGGACTCCCCCGAGGAAACAAATATCATTAAAATTTACATTTCCTTCCACTTTTTATATGGTCGTGCATGAGAATGCTTGATATTGTTTATTAATTATGGCACTAAAAACCATATCTAAATGTTATAAGCATATTAATCCTTAATAGATTCAATTCACGTTGGATTTTGGGCCCACCAAAATCTTTTTTTTAAAAACAGCTATTTATCGAAGGAGATTGATTATGTGGACGTTTGAATACATTTAATGAAATGTAATTAAGCTTTAATCATTTTAATAAAATTTATTTAACATAAGCAAATTTCATCTTCAATCTAAATAAACTTTAAGAAAAAATAATTATGATTTTATTCGATGTGTATGTATAGTACATATAAAAAGAAGAGACATTAATTTTATGAAAAGATTGTTAAACGATCCTAACTTTATGTTTTGTAATGGTTAATTATACAAAATATTTGTAAGTATTCCTAAATTATGAACTCATGAGGCATCTTTTAATCACAATTAATTATCATTTAATATTAAATTATATGATCGATACTTGAGATTATGATATCTAATTTAATATTGTTAGAGCGATTTAAACAAATTAAAATGCTAATACATTCAAGTATGCAAGAAAATTGTTACTTCCACGAGAACCAAATCTATTCAATGGTATGCATTGAAAAGTTTGATTGAAATCATTTTTTTTTCCTTTAAAATCGACCATAAGATGAAAAACATAAAGATTAACAGCTTGAATATTTTATTATCCAATGATAACCTCACACTCGTGCACACACACACAAAAAAAAAAAGTTACTACGACAAATATATTCCTAGGATCGATCATACATCCAATTGAGTAATCTAATTTCTAAGAATGCCACACAAAAAAAAAAAAAAAATCTACATGAAAATAGCTACTAGCTGATCTCAACCAGAGTTGTGAGACATGAATCTTGTGATAACTTGAAGGGTTTGATTTGCAGCGTCAGAGTATGGATCATAATTGAAGTAACCATGTTCCTGTCCTTCAAACTCAACATATTCAATCTTCTTTCCCATGGCTTTTAATCTTCTTGCATAGTCCTCAGCCCTGTCTTTCAATAACTCACTGCCGCCAACAATGACCAAGATGGGGTCAAGTGTCAATGCTTCGAGGCTAGGGGTCAACGGACCGAATGGATTTGCCAAAGGGTGATCCCTTGTCTCTCCAATTGGGATCGACAGCCTCCAAAACCTGGTTTATTACATCAGAGATTAAAGAAAATTGTTGATTTTTCATTAACATGAACATTGTGGCAAAATCAAGATTGATGGGATTTACATGACATCACTGCCCACGAATTGAGTCAAGCATGAACAACTTTTTTCCTAAAGCTTTTGAAAACTATCATCCAATAACTTTTTTTTGCTCAACAGTTTATGATAGCTATTGAAAGATTGGTATTGATGAAGATCAAACTCTTTCAAAGATAAGGGGATGAGAGAGAGATTGATGAACTTAGACAAGGCAGGGCACTATCTCATATGTTCTAGGCAGTATTGTTGAAGAAATTAGTTATTATATCATTAATTATTTAAACAAAATGATATCCGATAAATTTAGAGGTCGAATTTTAATATTTATAATTTTTTATTTATTAGTTAGTATTTTATATAAAAATATTAATTTTTTTTTAGAAATTAATTAAAACCATTTCCATGTTCTAATAAAGAGACGTTTTTAACATATATTTGTAGTAATTATTTAATTTTTCAAACTTATTCTTATTATTCGTAATTAACAAAGTTGATTATATTAACATCAATGTTTCATACAATTTTTCAATTCCAAAAAAAAAAAAAATTGATTTGCAATATCATGTGGGCTCATTTAAGATTTATTTAAAAAAGTTGTGCAAACGTGAAACGTTTCATTTCCAATAAGAAAGTCCACTCAAACCTAGCCAAGTGGTCTGAATTTACTTTCCATGATCGTGACCTGTGCTCAAAGTTTTCGCCTTAACATGTAGAGGGGACTATGATTGAGAGTTTGAATTTGATCACGTTTTAATCTTTAAATGACGATTTAAAAAAATTAAAAAAAAAGAAAAAAAAAAAAAAACTCATCTCTAAAGATAAAGATAAGACATCTTGTATTAGTCATCCAGCCACTGCTTACGTTTTTATGCAACAAATTCAATGGTCAAATAGCCTATAAGTAGAAAAATATCATTTCATAATTTACAGACAGTGGAGTATACTATTTGCTCAGGTTTAAACAGCCCTTCAGAATTTGAAAGAATTTAAATAAAAATAAAATTTTGTCAAATAAATTTGGATATAATTTTTAGATTTATTTAAAATTTTGGATAAGATCTTCAAAAAAAAAAAAAAAGGGCCTAATTTAATCCGATTTGAATAAAATATATATAATGAAAATATTATAATTATATAAGTGTATATATATGTGAGTTTTTAGTTTAATGTTTTATTTTTTAAAAAATAGATTTTTTATTTTTAAAATTTTTTATATAAATTAGGTATAATAGATAGATTTAGAATTTATTTTTTTTAATTTAAATCAAATTTAAAAAAAAAATTGAAATATAAAATATCATGTCAGACCGAACTTAAACAAACATTAAAGTTAGTAATACCAAATATGAGCATTGTTCGAATGTAACTTGACTCATGAATATCTTTATAATCGAGTTTGTATAATTTATTATTAAAATATTAAATTTAATTTTAATTAACTTTAAATATCAACAAAATTTATAATTTTTTAACTTTTAAGGATTTTCAAAAGATGTTTTAATAATAAAAATTTAAAACTTTTTTATAAAATTATTATATTTGAAATTGAGAAGGATAATATAATTTTAATAAGATGAGAAATTTTTTTGTGGAATTCAAGCTCGGTAGACATTTTTTATTTACATTGAGGAAGAAAAAGTTAAATAAAGTTTTGTAGATAAAATTTATAAAATTATTTAATATAAATAATTCAATTAAAATTTTAATAAAAAATCTAAATCGATAAATTACTAGAGTTCAATGAAAAAATTAATAATATGTAAAAAAATATTAAAAATATCATATATAATTCAAATTTGATCAGTACTTATTTAATAATAAAAATTTTATTAAAATATTTATTAAAAATTATTATCTAAAAATATATCAAAATTTATACACTTAATTTATATAGTAAGACCTTTCAATATATTAATTTTGATTTAATTATTTTTAATTGATAACTATGCAAACTTTGTTTAAAAAACTTCATGTAAATATTTTCCGTAATTGCTTTCCTTGTGTCTTAGATTCATAATCTAAAATATAGTTTGGCAAATTTAATACAAAAGCGTTGTAAAAATTATTGAGTATTTTTTTTATATTTTAATAAATAAAAAATAAATAATCAATTTTATTAAATTAAACTATATGTTTTTAAGAAAAAAATAGAATAAATAGATATTTTTATTAATTATAAGAAAAAATGCATTCAATAAAAATTTGATAAAATAAAAAATATGTAAAATAATATAATTCTCTTTATAATTTTAGAAATTATTGAAAAATAAAGTGAGAATGTAAAATATTTTCTAAAATTAGCACTTTTTGAAAAAATTTAATTTATATCCTCGCTTAAAAGCTTAAATTTATTTCCAGCATAAATTAAGATTCTTAAAATATTTAGAGCTAAACACATTACTTCTATTTTTGCAGTGATAAACCTTTCTATAAATTGGGCCAAACAAACTAAGCTTCCGATGAAATCTGAAAATATCTTTAATTATATTATAAAAAATTAATTATCTTAATTAAACAATATAATTTTTTTTGCTTAAAAAAGGACAAACGTCCGTGCAAGGGAGAAAGGGAATGGTGGTGGCTCGTGCGTGCTTATATATATGGTGGAAAAGGCCAAATGGGGTCACGAGCGTAAGGTGGTGGATCAAGTCACACCGGCCACCGCGTTAGACCCGGCGCTCTTAATCGCTTTGTATATTTTCATGTGGTCCAATCGAATCGAGAAAAGGTAAAAGAAGAGAAGAGTACCAAAAGAGAAAGCCAAAAACGCCAAGAGTCAAGTCCAACGAATATTTCATCTCTCATTTGTTTTTTATTTTTGTTACAAGCAAATCCAATTGTAAATCTACCACTAATAAAATTTGGGTCATGCTTTATATTTATATTTTTCCTTCGTTTTATCCCCTTGGTTTTTACTTAATAAAAGTAAAGTAGAAGAGCCCGACCCTATCCTTCCTATTATAAAATTTAGTATTAAACGACACATATAAGATTGTGGTTTGACCAAAATCAAATAAACTGCCTTCTTCAATTTCATCAAAGAATTTAAGAAAGTTAAAATTTGAGATTTGTTTTAAAAAAATCAAATTTAAATCTTGAAAATAAAAAGTTAAGGTTATAAAAAAAATTAATTACATTCCTTTTTTTTTATTACTCAAGAATATATATATATATATATATAGAAATTTTGCAAGTTCCTTTTTATAATTTATGAACTTAGTAGTAATGTAAAAAAAAAAAACTTTAATTTATTTATTTTTATTTGAGAGTGTCAAATATTTGAATTTTGATAATTAAAATTAAATCTTTAATACTCTATAAAAAAATCATAATTTTTAACACAAAATTGTTTATGAGTGTACATGCAAATACCAAACTTAAGATAAAATTTAAGAAAAGAAATAATATTAATGAAAATATAAATTTTGTGATCGTGTTTGATATGAGGTGATCACTTCAAAAATCATGATAATTTATATATAATGATTAAATTATCATGTTCGGTAAGTATTTGATAATCTTACATGACAATAATCTTAAATCATCGAAAATAATCAAATTATTGCCTTGAAAGTGATCTAATTCTTATAAAAAAAGTGAAAAACTTTTATCATTAAAATAAAGTAATATGTAAAATTAATAATTGTTTATATTACGCATTTAATATGTGAATTAAAATTTACTTCTTTTTAAATTGTAATTATTTTATATTATATTTTTTATATTTTCAAATTAATGTTTGTAACAAGTTCAAAAATAATTTATATATTTTTTATTTTTTAATGTTTATATATAACATAATCTTTTGTTTTTATTATGGTTTTAATTAATTATTTCATTTTCTAATTCAATTTTTTTACATAATTTATATTATAAAAATTAGTTTACCTAATAAATGAATATGCTTACTAATTTAAGCATTTAATCATACTTTATTATAAAATAAAAAAATATTACTATATTTTATAATTTATTATTTTTAAATAATATTAAAAATTTTAAGTTATGTAAATATTACAACATCATGATTATTTTCATATCTTTAAATAAAATAAATTTTAATTTTTAATAATTTAAAAATAATAATACTTAATTTAATAAATTAATAATTATTAACCAAATAAATAAATTAAATAATAAAATCCATTCTATAATTATATTACCATAATAATCTTATACCGAACACACTAACTATTACTATTATTAGCATTGAGTAACTGAGGAGCCTTCGGTTTACCTGTCCAGTATCTCAAGATTCAACAAAGCTTCGCTAGGCCCCGCTTCTGACTTTGTCCTGTCCACCCCACCAAAAAATGGTGCCAACAATACGTAACCTCGTACTCGAATCGGAGCCAACTCGGTCGAACCAGCACCGAACCGAACTGCCAAATGGTGTGCAATATTGCCACCTGACGAGTCACCCATGACAAAAACCTGGTCAAAGTCAACCTCGCCACTATTGAACCATGCATCACTACTAGTTTCACTCAAAGCTTGACCTTGCAACCACTTCATGGCACTGGCTGAATCATCCATAGCTGCCGGCAGCCTATGCTCCGGGGCCAACCTATAGTCTGGTGAGACGACAAGCGCTTTGAGCCCGGACGCTAGGCGTAGGCAGGAATTGTGACTGGTAGGCCACATGCGGGAGCCTACGCAAAACCCACCACCATGAATGAAAATGATGATGGGAAGTTTATAACTATTGCCTGGAAAAGATGCTGACATGGGCTTGTAAATTCGAAGATGGAGGTTCTGGTTTTTGTCAAACAAAGCATCTTTGAAATGAACAGATTTTTCATCGACGACAGGCATGTTGAATTGTATGTTTTTGGACCTAAAAATGGTGCCATCACTCAACACTTGGAGGACTCCCATGCAGTCCTCCACTATGTGAGGAAAAGAACCCATGATTTTTTTTTTTCTTTTGGTTTGTCACTTTGTTGGGTGAGGATGGTTGGGAATGGTGAGGTTTATATAGAGAATGAGGGGAAGGGGTGGAAGTGGAGAAACTGTAGAAAAGTAAGGGTGATAGTGTAAAATTCAATGGATATTAATGGGTGGTGGTGCCACATGATTTAATGGTCATTGGATCATCTTACTGTTTTTTGAATATGGACCATAGATGAGCTTGGCCGGCTCTGTTAATGTTTATTTGGGACGGAATTTTGTCATCTTGTTTGATAAGCTACTAAAACCTGCTGCCAATGGTTCTGGGTTTTATCTTTTTTCTAAAAAAAAAAATAAAAAATACTACAACATATTTCTACCACAAGTTTCATTACAAGGCTATGGCAGAAACGGGAAGTACAGTACTTTTGTTCCTGTCTACCTGCTAAACATGTTCTGCAACTTCAGCTGTTAGTAAATGATCCATTGGCAAGTCATAATTAAATTCTTTCATATTATCTCATATTATATACTACAAGTAAGTGGAAAAGTTATATTTTAAATTCGAATTTGATCTAGTTGATTTTTTTAAAAAATAATATTTAATAAATTTGAGATAATTATATATATATATATATATATGTATTCAAGCAGGAAGACAGGCCGTAGTTTAAACTGGCAGCATGTTTTAGGTTTCTTTACTTACGCTTTCTTCCTTGGCGAGCAACTTCCTTTAATAAACAACAGGAATAGAGGGACTTTAGCTGTCATGTAGGGCGGTCAATGTACTATATAGAATTTGATTTTGCTTGACAACAAATAGATAGAATAATTAATTATTTGGTAGATAAAAATTTAAAACTGTGTTAGATAAACATAATTATAATATGTTTTATGAATAAAATTATATTAAATAATATCATATTATTTTATATTTGATATATTCGAATATTATGATAAAATAATTTATTTATTAGTTAAAATTATTTTTTAAAAAATTTATATAATTTAAATTATTAATATAATTTTTAAAAATATAATAAAACATATAAGTTCAATCTTATAAACTAAAAATAATTCTTTTTACTTTGAGATGATTAAATTATTTTATATCAAAAAAATATTAATTTTTATTATAATCATATCTTTTTATTTAAATATAAATAAAATATAATATAAAATAATTATCATTTTATCTTGTTTATCATCATATATACTAAACACGATACGAGACTACACACGTGAAGCACCCCTCTTCCAATTTCATAATAAATTTCATTCTACACATATGGTAAAGTTTCTTATATTAGAATCTAAAATTTTAGTTTAATTAATTCCTACGATTATTTTTAAAATAATATTTAATATATTTAAAATTTAAATATCAATATTTATAATTTTTTCTCGTTTTTTAAAGTGATAGCATCCTTTAATTAAAAAAAAAATCCCTATAGTTTAGGATTCACAACATGGATAAAGTTTGAATTGCACCGCGATGATCGCTGCTCGACTTTTTGGTGTTTTCTTGCACGTTGGCCAAACAACGTAATTGGGAATCAAACAGTAAAAAAATTGTAAGTGGCACTTGTGGACCACAAAATATAATTTTAGGAAAAATCAAAACAATAATTTTTTTTTTGAAATTTATAATTTACTCTTAAATTATTTATTTTACTATTTACCTAACTAAAAAAATATTACGTGTATAGATTTTTTGTAACCTTCAAGTGTCAACTTTAATAACTTATCAATTGATGAAAAAATCAATTGGCAACACGGATTTTATTTAGTTACACAATAAAGTCTGAAGTTCTAACTGCTCTTTAAAAAACGTACGAAAGTCTAGATGATTACAATGCAGTTACTGGTAAGACCTATCTTCAAAAGGGATTGGAGATTTTGATATTTCTTTAAGTTTCTTGAATCTTGTATGCCTCAACTACCCCCCCTTTGGATGATGGAAACATTTGTGGCCGAAGTATTGCAATAATTGGTGAAATGACTACCGTTTTTACTGCCGGTCATTGGTTGGGAAAATGAATAGACAATGAATGAAGGCTTTGAAATGATGGAGATAGGGATGAATATCAGCCAGGGATCACAAAATGACTCACCAATGTACCAGTAATACTGTGGACAAGGAGTAGATGTGCACATTTTTGGGCTGTGTAAATTGAATCATTAAATAACTATGAACAGATATGGCTTTGGAAGATTAGGGTTATAGCATCTATAATTGTATCAATCACCAGGCTGGCAAATCAATCCAACAAATTTCGGATTCAACTTAGGAATCAATTGGTTCATTGGGAGAGGAAACAATCTTTAAGATTTCACCTTTCTAAACAAAAACAAATAACTTTTTAAAGCTCCTTTGGAAATCTAGGAGTTCTATTTTGTCGGATACTTGTTTTGTCATTTTCCCTTCATTGACTTCAATGGTTTTAGCTCAAGTTCGATCTTGTACCCTTGATTACTTGCAATTTAGTGCGGGGGAAGTGGGGGGGGGGGGTGGTGGGACTGCAGTTAACTTTATTTTTATTGATTGATATGGACAACGCCTGTATAGCCCTATAATAGGGTTCGTGCAGGCTAGAAAGTGGCTAGTTCTGAGTGCTACCTTAGACCGAACTCTCCGGAAATTAAATGAGAGACAGTTATCAGACCCAAGCTGACCTGAAGTTGCAGTGAGGTGCACCCAGATGTAGACCTACAGCAATGGCAGGGCTTGGATTCGCCTACTAAGATAGATCATATACTTTGCACCCTTTAGTGTGTACAATGTATAGCATGCACTGGGGCGCAAGATGCAACCGGTAACTGCAAATCCAAAGCAGGAGTAAAATTCTTGACAAAATTCCAAAGTAGGAAAAAAACTAAAGCAACAATCGCTTTATCCAAAAAAAAAAACCCCCATCTTGTGACGAAAATCTTAGTATGTTTTATGTGCTAATTGATTGTTAGTTTATAATTATCCACAGCAATAAAGGGCTGAGGCATTGGCAGGCAGACAGGCATACATCGTCAAAAATATAATGGAGGGTGACAGCAACATTACTGCTCACTGATATTCTGCCAGTAGACACTGGTCACTGGCTCTGCAGTTGGTACAAAAAGGAAAAACAACTCAGCATGATTAGCAGAACAGATGCTGCATAGGATGCATGCATATAACAGCAAGAGCGTGCTCTTAGAAACAAACGTGGGGAGGAATTAGCTTTCCTGGATTCATGATATTGTTAGGATCTAAGGCTGTTTTGATTTATTTCATCGTCTTCAAAGCCTCTATTCCAAGTTCCTTTTCGAGATACTGCAAAGATAAAGCAAAATATCCTCAAATCAATAATTATGTTTTCATGAACATGACAAGAGAGGGTTTTCAGAACAAACAACCCCTGAACATTGAGAATGCTGAAACTTTGTTGACAACAAACAGCACAGTACTATAAAAACGGAAGACACCATATATGTTCATCTTTTTGACACTTTAAAGTCATGCAGTTCCTAGACAACACAACTGAATTATCATGAAGAAACTTGTTCAGTTTCATCTGTGAGTTGGCTAATGAAGTACTATATGAAGCATCCCAATTGACATATGCTATTAGTGAATACTTTATGTAGCATAATACACTAGAGCATGTATTCATTCTGGTACTAATTAATAACAAGTCTTGGCTGTGATGGGACTTTGTTGTAGAAACCACTAAAAAGTGGCATCTTGCCAACCAAAATTAAACTGTGTGAAATCCAATAAAATAGAGGGATATACCTTCATTCTCCCAGTGCCAACACCATGTTCACCTGTGCATGTTCCTGCTAATTTATGAAATCAAGGAAATAAAGTGGTAGCATTAGAATTGATTCAGCAATACCACAGTATGCAGGAATCCAAGCATTATCATATCCTTTACTCTGTCAACCAAAGATAATTCTGAAGCTAACAAAAGTATTCTAATTACCAATGTCTGCATATTATGAGCAGAATTAGTTCTCAATCATTCATTGTTTGGAACAAACTGATATACTGCCAAGAAGAGAGTATGCACCTTCCATTGACAGAGCTGTATAAACCATAAATTGATTTAGCCTTTCAGCTTCCCTCCTTTGCTCTTCCTGGTTAGGATCAAAGAGAATAGCTGTGTGAAAGTTCCCATCACCAGCATGGGCAATAACCGTACTGTAATTATGAAAAAGAAAAACATCAGCGCATTATGGGAATCAGGTCAAATGCACAAAAACAACACTTACCATGCAATCCCCAAAACGAAAATCCCATGAGAAAATGTTGTTTGAATATACCAAACCAGTGGTGATGCATCCGGCTCTTGCTTAGACCTTGATATTAGTTCTGCAAGGTGTGATAGAGGAATGCAAACATCCTAAAGAGAAAAGAGAAATTTGGTAAAGGGGCCTTACCAACCTCTGAAAATTGGGCAAGTCAATAAAATAATTTTTAAAAATCAGATTGAGATTACTTCCATTTAAACTAATTACTGTATTTGAACTTACAGAAAGCATTGCTTCAAAATTTGGTTCCATTGCAAAGCGTGCCCATAGTGCTTCCTTTCTGATCTGCAAGGAACCAAATATTACTGAAGATAAGAGTAAATAGCATAGATGCTTTTGGATGAACTATGCGACCCGATACCTTATTCAGAATCATGAAATTAATACATATAAAGGAAGAACTGTCAACAAGTTGGGGGTGGTTTAAGTCGGTAAAAGCAAATCATACTTATATTAAATATAACAAGAAAGTCCTGTCCAGCTTGAGATGTTCAGAAATGCATTAATACAGGGTTGGAAAGTTGGAAACTAATTCAGAGCACTAATTGATTCTGATTTGAGGTTCTTTGAGGTCTTCAACATGCAATAACCTATTCCAACGGCTTAAATATACTAAGGAAGCCATTAAGCTGGTACATTCCAGTCAAATAAATGCACCTCATATTTGCGATGGCTTCATAGATTCCACTTACCCAGGCAAAATGTATAAGCAAATTCAATCTGAAAACAATAATCCCCCACCCACCCAACCCCCAACATCCAAACCCCTTTTACTCCTTTCCAATTCTAACTTCTATAAGCATTACAATATTATTCTTGGCATGTTTTATTGCATCCGTATCTTGTCTTTCCAAATAACATGAAAATAAATCTGCTTGTCAATAGAGACAAACTGTACATAGTTTCCTCATAAAACAAATATCATGATCAGGACAATATAGAAACTGAAACTGCATTATCACCTAACTATCTTAGGTGTAGCCACCA